CGGATGGTTCTTTCTCTTGAGATGGTTCCCTGAATGTCGATGACACTGCGAGAGTTCGCCTCAACTTCGTCTTTGATCTTCCGAACCTCAGCCTCAAGGGCCCCGATCTCAGAAAACCTAAGAAGCTGGACCTTGACGTTCTCAAGTGATTCGGCCTGCTCGCGAAGTTCAGCAGCGGATATGACGATCGAGTCAGATCTCTCATCATACATCTTGAAACGCTCATTCGTCTCCTTCTCGCTTCGGGCGACCCACTCGTGGAAATCACGGAACTTAGCCTCGTGTTTTGAGAGAGTTCCGGCAACGGCAGAGAAAGATGATTCAACCTTCTTCTCGAAGGCGTCAACACGGTTATTGATCTTCTTGATCTCACCGACGCAAGCATTGATATCATCCCTACATGAACGAATTTCAGCTCTGCATCCCTGGATTTCGGCCTTGCACCCCTTGACCTCGTTGTGGATCGCGAGAAGCAGTCGTTGAAGCTCAGATGCAACAGGATGGCCGCCACTTGTGGAAGCAGACGGAGCAGGACGACTATCAGCGTCATGATCTCCGCGACTATTCTCTTCCCTGTCGGGAGTGCAGCCCGGAGTTCCGATTTGAAAGAATGCGGGGACAACGGAGTCGTTGACCGGTTGATTCGAAGGAAGCCCTCCATATCCAGGGGCAACAGTGCTAAGTCCAGGTCTCCGGTTCCTAGGCGTAGAGTTAATCCCGTCATCAGTCTCCTTCTCAGACATCGGGGCATTGGAGCTGAGCCCAGACCCCGCAGAGTGTATAGGAACGTCAATAGGATCGTGATGAGCTGGGGGATTGGATCGCAGTCGTAGAGCAGCTTCACGTCTCTCGGGTGACTCAGAGCTCCTCTTTGTGGCTCGTGAGTCAGTGCCGGTTTGTCCCGACACATTATCAAATGATGATGATCCGCGAAGTTGAGCTTGATCTGGATTAGGTTGAGTGAGATCAAGCCGTTGAGCAACGTCACCATTGAGTGGCTTAGGGGAAAGTACTTTGGCAACGCGGCTCGGCGGGAGCGATGTAGTTCGTCTCTCTGGTGTGACCTCGGCCTCATCGATTACATCAAGGATCCCAGGAATGGTTTCATCATCTTCATTTCCTCTCCTGGGTGGCTGATGGAAGGGGATGTCGAGGAGGTCAAATGGAGTAGAGCCAATACCAGGTGTATCCTGCTCGGATCCATCGCTGGTACGGTGGCTGGACTGCTCCTCGAGGTCGATGACGTCGGGGGCGGACTCTTTTCGAGTCTGACGCCGATTGAACGCCGCGAAGAGACCGGCATGGCTTCTTGACGAAGAGGAGGAAGGATTTGGGCCTGCTGTTTCGCGGCCCGCATCCGATCGATTAGTACCTGATGTCCGATTTGGCGGATTTGAGCCCGCGTTGTAGCGGTTCGCATCCCGACCTCGGGTACCTGAGGAAAGCGGTGGATTCGGACCAGCGTTGTAGCGGTCCGCATTCCGGTCGCGGGTACCTGACAGGTGAGATGATACTGCATCAGGGATGAAGTCCATATCCGCCGGACTGGGGTGATCGTGAATGATGTCAATGTCGGATGAACCTGAGACGGGAGGAGGGCCAGCTATTTGCGGCCAATCCTCAATCGCCCGTTTGCCCACCTCGGGTTGGGCCGAACCTGCAACATGAGAAGGGGAAAAATCTTCAATGGGGTCATTTTCTCCATCATGAGGAAAACCCTGAGTAGGCTCATGCGTAGGCAGGGCATCAAAAGATCTGTCAATTCGGGAAGGCTGAGACCTCCAATCAGCATCAAAAAGGGATTGAAAATCCAGATTCCCAACCGAAACGGGGGCACCCGAGTTAAAGTCGAGCCGACCGAAAGCAGGCGGTGTAGCCTGCGATCCACTGCCGAGGAGTTGGTCAAACTGATCCCATGTAAGGGACCATGATTGAGCCGGCTCCGGATGAGCAGCATGATGGACAGCCCGGTCCTCGATCTGGAGCGCCACGAACGGAACAGTAGGCGAAATCGATGAGGGCACCTGATTTGGAGGAACCTCAGCCTCTTCTAGAGGGGGTCCGTCCTCGATCTGGAGCACTGCCGCCGGGATAGGGGCCTCCGCATCCTCATCAAACACAACCTGAGAAAGGATCCAATCGTCCGTGATCACCCCGGGATTGGGCTCTGCGCCCACCATCGGGGGAATGGGCCACAGCCGGCTGTCTAAGCCGGGGGCAGCAGGCGCGGCGTTGCCGCGAAGGGCGTTGGCCTCGTCGTCCACGAAGCCCGGCCCACGATGAGAAGCTCCGGGGGACGCCATTGCTCGTACAAGTAGGCGATGGGAGCAGGTAGCGGGTCACGTCCCGCAACCGGATCACCAGCCCCAGCTTCTAGCTGGTACGGCTGATAACCTGCGGTTTTGGGCGAACACGAAGTAGCCCAGGGAATCAAAGAGGTACACGTAATCCACGAAGTACCAAAAGAACCCAGTCTCAACGCACAATGGAGAAGGTGCTGATGACCAGGTTGTGGGAGTGACAGTTGAAGAAGATCAGGTTTGGGGAGGTTAGAAATGGGATTGCAAAACAGTAGTTTGAGGGACAGGCCCAAGAACACCTCGACGGCCCACCGAACACCTCCTACCCCCAAAGCGCCGCGGCACCACAAAGCCTTTTGCGGTGACGAAGAGCGATGCCAGGATATGGCGTTCGCACGCGAGTCCGAGGGGAACTTGACGGGAGTTCCCAAAAACTTGAGCCAAACGGCCATTCGGCCGTTTTGCCACATGATGAAACAACACGTGAACAAAACACACAAAGGAATTGCAGAATCCCGGGAATGGGCTTCCTTGCTAGTGCTCAGGGAAGACCCAGGGCGTTGGGAATGAACCGGAAGGAGATTCGCTTAAAGGAAACCATAGGGGATGGTTTATCTCGGGATCATTCCCTGAGAACCAGCAAGTTTCTGAAGAGAGCCATGAATGAACCAATGGAAATCAGCTAAGAAAATGGCAACCCTGGCTTTTGGGTTCGAAACCCACAGCAAACCCTTGAATACTCCACCGAACCGAAAGGAACCGGACTGCGGATCATATCTTCGCGGGGGTCAGAAAGCAATCCTGGTAATATGAGCCAGGGTCAAAGCTCCGTCTGTTTGGCCTACGGTCATAATTAGTTGTCTAAATAATAATCATTTTCGAGGTTGTTAAGGATCCTCCAGTAGAGAGGTTAGAATAAGGGTACCAACTTTTCTGCAGAGGGGAACCCTCCCCCAAAAAAGGGTAATTAAAAGGGCACTACTGGGGACCTAGTTGGATGACCATCCTTATTTCACCCCGAGGAACCGGTCTCTTGACAATGGCACATATTAATTCCAAAGCGGTCTTCCAACATCATGAGGGCTTGGAAATGCGACTCGATCCCTGAAACTCAGTCCATCCAAGTTACCAACTCAGTAGAGTGTTTGTATCTTGTTTCCTTTTGACCCCCGGTAAAAAAACCTAACTTGTTGCGGCTTCGATGGACACATTCGACTTCCCAAAAGTTAAAGTTTAAAGATCCAACCCAATAGCAATCAGGGTAGAAGCCCCTCCCTTCCCCTTTAATACTCCCAGCTACGGATTCAATTGGGAGAGCTTTGGTTTGGACCACATTTTCATCTAAAAGGGGCCGAATCTCTCTCCGTGTTGGATCCCGGTTGATGCCCTAGTGGTTTCCCTCGCAAGCCTAGGCCGGCTTCCCTGAGTTACCGTCTATAGGTCCTCCACACAGGTTAGAATAAGTTGGTACCCACTTTTTGTTTCCGTCGTCTATTGTAGTAGGGGAACCCAAAAAAAAAGGAGAGAAGGGCATGGGGGGGCTAGCACCTGCGTCGCTTGGATGGTTATGCAACTAGTACTTGATTCTGCCCCCCCCCGACCGCTTGACCGCTTTTCCTCTTCATACCGCTTTCTTGCCTGCACCTAAGGAATTCCCCCAAATGCTGTGCTCTTGGTCTGGTGAATCTTTGTAAGGAGCCTACAATACACTTGCAGTTTTTCAGTAGTGAATCAAGAGGGGTGTGGGAATTTTACACTTAGAGTCCCCCGGCCGGTTGGATGGCTCAGAATAATAAGCTATCCCCTTGCTTAACTGGACGTAGGCTGGCTATGACCCGCAATGATCCCAAGGGGCGAACGAATCTTGTTCTGGCCCTGAATCAGCACATGACCCAAAAACTTGACCCACATCTGTGTGAACATGCTCAGGGTCTGCTTCATATTTAGCCTACCGAAACTATCACATATGATTGGAGGCCCCAGAAACGCCTCCAAAAAGTCAGGAGATCCCCAGACGAAAGGCTGAGGCGATCCTCCCAAACCTTGGTATGCCACTAACAATGAACAGAACCAAACTATCCAACCCCCATTTGCTCAAGTCCCCTGGAAAAAGTAAAAGACGTCCAGTAGTGATAGTTTCCTTTTAAAACCAACAGGGGAAAACAACAAATCTTCTTAAGCAAATGGAAGCCAACAAACAAGAAACACATGCCAAGAGCAGTCAAGCGAGTTGGGTGTGAATCTTAATGGACTGGGCGAACCTTTGGTGGGCATTTAGGTGGGGGATTCATCTGCACCAACTACTTTTGAGAGAGCTCCCAATGAAAAAACTCATAGCTTCCATTTGCTTAAGTCCCCTGGAAAAAATGAGCAAATATGTCCAGCACGTAGTGGAATCGATTCCCTTTTAAACCAGAAGAAGATAAAATTTCAGCCAATGAAAAAGAGATAGGGACCCGCAAAAAAAGAGGCTGGCTGAACTGAGCATCCATGATAACTCGGTCGCTTTCTGCTCCCCTGCTAAAAGTGAATAACTTTTAGTGGCTTAGTACGGAAAACCCGTCAACGTTGGATCAAAAAGTTGTTCAGTCCTAACAGCCCTGGGCAAAATGCACCGAAGTTTCCATGGCTTTCCCGCAAGACCCGCCGTTTGAACACATGACCCAAAGCTAAGCACCAAAGCTAAGCTTGGCCCGAGACTCAGCGTCTCCTCAGAACCCTGCAGGCTCATCGGGGTAGCAATGAGGTCAGAGAAGGGTTGTTTCGCCAGGATCTGCACGTAGTCCCGCGCATAGACCTCGGCTCCCCCCCCCAAAAAACGAGGGGGGAAGGAACAAAAAAGAGGAGAAACACCCACGTGTCTGCGCCTTTTCTCAGAAGAAATCTCGATCTTGGGGGTGAATGAAAAACACGGAGTTCGTGTCTCTTCTTGACCCTACGGGCCCACCATATTTGCGGTTTTCTGGGGCCTCACAGTCCATCTTGCGGGTTCCTGCGATTTCTTGTGGTCCATCTCTAGAGACAGGTTCCGAGCCACCTTTTTATTCCAAGCGTCGCAGTTTCACCCCGGGCAAACGATGGTGACCGGCCATCCTCCGGCGAGAGGATTCTTTTCATTTGCTTGTTCTCTTTGTTTTGTTGTTGTTGTTTTTTTGGGGGGTGGTCGAGGGTAGACGAGTACCTTGTTTGTTGTTGCTGTCAAAGGAAACCAAAAGCAAAACCGAAGCCCGTTGCTTGCCACAATAACAACCACCAGGAACGGGTTCCCTCAAAAAGCGACACACTCATTTTCCTGAGGGCCCCAAAATGTGTTTTTCCCCACAGAAACGCGGGTCTCCCATCGTCTGAGGTGCTGATGCCATCTGGCGCGTCTCCACTGTCTGGCCAATGCAATCGCAGAAGTCCGTCACCTGGCGGACGGGCCTTCCAAACAAAACCCGCAAAGGGGTGGGGGCACAAACGTGTGTCTGTGCGTCTGTCTCTGCGCGTGTGTGTCTCTGTGCGTTGTGTCTGTGCGTGTGTGTCTGTGTGCGCGTGTGCGTGTGCGTGTGCGTGTGCATGTGCGTGTGCGTGTGCGTGTGCGTGTGCGTGTGGTGCGCGTGCGCGTGCGCGTGCGCGTGTGCGTGCGCGTGCGCGTGCGCGTGCGCGTGCGCGTGCGCGTGCGTGTGCGTGTGCGTGTGCGTGTGCGTGTGTGTGTGTGTACCTGGGGCCTTGAACGACTGTTTCAAAGCAGGTGCGGGCCGAAAAACCACTTCTGAGGCAACCGACCGGAACCGGTTCGCAATCCCTAGCCTACGGGGCCTTGACTTTGCCAGGCCTGTCTACTTTCCATTTTTTCCAGTTGGCTAAACCAGAAATGGCCGTGAGCATTCATGTGCGCAATCTAGAATCGAGAAGCCACTGCAATTTACAGTTATGACACTTCAGGTCAGAGCATAACGAGTGTAGCTGCATGCATGTGTTCTTCACAGCCTTTGCCCAGTGCGCCTGGCTTGCTTTACAGACCTGTCCCTTTTCCCAGCAAACGACGCAGACGCAAATTTCTGTCCACTCATGGTGTTAGCCTTGGTTTAGAACCTTCCTCATTATAAGAAAGGGCACCCTAAACAAAGGCTTGCTTTTGGGTGGCCGGACTGCTCGATTTCTTGGTTTTTTTGCGGGGGGAACATTGGATTTTCGGGGGCAGTTTTCGGCTTGTTTTCGGCCCGTTTTCTTCCGTTTTCGGCTCGTTTTCGGCCCGAAAACCTGTTTTCGGGCCGAAGCTGGCGATGGACAAAACCAGGAAACATCCAGAACCAGGCGTGCAACAACCAGAACCGTGCGTGCAACAACCAGAACCGTCCGTGCAAACGACTGTTTCTGAATTGATGGGTTTTCGGTTGCTTTTGGATGGGGCCATTGGGGCGACCACTCCTTTTTACCAGCAGAAGCCTCCTTTGCAAAGATTGGAAAGGGTTGTTGGGAAACCACCTGAAAGACACCCATTGGGTGCGTGAGGGAAGAGTGATTTGACCCACTGCCAAAGCCGCTCAACTATAGTGGCCTTGCAGTGATAAACACTGTTCGTCGACCCCACGTGCTGCTGATGCTGGCGGTGCACCTATGTGGCTCTGCCCGCGGAACCGAAGGGTCTTGAAAGTGTGCAATTCGCACAGCCCCCTTCTCCATGCCTTTCCCTTTTGCAAGAAAGCCTAGAAGAGAAAACAAAGGGATCAGTGCATTTCAGTCTGCTGCGGCACGCTTGAGACCCTGCGGGTTGGCCGGGCAGGGTTGGTGCGAGTCTTGTAGAGAGGCAAGTCAACCGAGGCTGAAAAGGATATGCCCTACACAAAATACAGAAAATGGTGATCCGGCCAAACGGCCGGAACTGCAGCAAACGACCGGAACTGATGATGGATGTTCTTACGACTGTTTAAAAACAGATGTTTCGGGATCCAGGTAGGTGTGCGCGTGCGCGTGCGCCGTCGCCGTGCGCGTGCGCGTCGGTGTTTGGGTGTGTGTGTGTGTGTGTGTGGCTGGGTGGGTGGGTGGGCGGGTGGGTGTGTGTGTGTGTGGGTGTGTGCGTGAGTGCGTGTGTGCGTGTGTGTGCGTCTGTGCGTCTGTGCGTCTGTGCGTCTGTGCGTCTGCGCGCGTCTGTGCGCGTCTGTGCGCGTCTGTGCGCGTCTGTGCGCGTCTGTGCGCGTCTGTGCGCGTCTGTGCGCGTCTGTGCGCGTCTGTGCGCGTCTGGGCTCGTCTGCGCGCGTCTGCGGGCGTCTGCGGGCGTCTGCGGCGTCTGCGTGCGTCTGCGTGCGTCTGCGTGTCTCTGCGTGTCTCTGCGTGTCTCTGCGTGTCTCTGCGTGTCTCTGCGTGTCTCTGCGTGTCTCTGCGTGTCTGCGTGTCCTTCTTGTCTGCGTGTCTGTGTCTGTGTGTGTGTGTCTGTGTGTGTCTGTGTCTGTGTGTGTCTGTGTGTGTGTGTGTGTGTCTGTGAGTGTCTCTGTGTGTATGTGTGTGTGTGTCTGTGTGTGCGTCTGTGTTTGTGTGTGTGTGTGTCTGTGTGTGTATGTGTGTCTGTGTGTGTGTGCCACAGCCTGAGACCAAAGGCGTTTTTCTATCCGCAGGGGGGGCAGGAACCCATGGATGTCTGTCCTGGCCAACGAAGACCAGACGCCATGGGGGGTGAAAACGTACCTGCTTTCGTGTGTTTCTGGTTCTGCCCGACATTCGGTGAGCCAGACATACATCAAGATTACTCCTTTCAGGGAGCTGTTCACAGCGTGTGTCGTCCGGCTGCGTGGTCCGCTCGCGGAGTAGTCGTGAGCCTCTTGCGAGGCCTAATCTGTCAACACCAGTCCTGACCGCCTTGACGTGATTCAAAAAAGCCTTGATCCACCCAGGGTTCCACAAGGCGCTTGATGCATCTGACGTGATTGCTGAATCTTGAGCTGTGAGCGACCTAAGCCTTGATCCGATATGCCTTGATCCTTTCTGACTTGATCCATTATGCCTTGTTCTGACCAGGGAACTCTGGTCATACCGGCTGAAGGAATGGCAATGCGATCTGTCAGGGTTTCTAAGCTTCCTTTTCGGAGGGCAAAAGCATCCGGGTCTCAGATTTCCCCAGCGAGCCCCGCTAAATGAATCACAAGTAGCAAAGGTGCTGCTTGCAGAGGGTGCCCTTCATCTGTGAAGTGTGCAATATTGCGCAATAGTTCCCAAGCCTGAAAGAAGAGAACCTTTTTCACGCGAGACCCCTCTTCGGCGCACAACTTGGAAGTCAGGGCAAATCGCCCAGCTAACCTTTGAAGCCTCAAGCGTGCTCCAAAACCAGGCTGGCCACCAGGAAGGCAAGCTGACAGCAGCAATCGCACATAAGTTTCGCTCACATTCGCATGAAAACTTAGCCGAACAAAAACACAAACACCCTGCCTCTACAAACTGCATCAGTTCCAACGCAGACTGCAGAGCAGAACTAAGGCGGTCAAGTTCCTCATGCAGAAGATACGCACACTTTGGGGCCTTCAGCAGAAGAAAGTGGGCAAAAAATATTGCAGCGTCGGTGGGAATTCTCAAGGCCCTGCTGGGGTATTGCTCAACTTTCCAACTTTCCAAGGTGGCACAACTCAAACAAACACATCAACAAGGAGAAGGGGGGCTGAACCCCAGCACCTCGGAACTCAAATTCCAGTTCGGGACTGAGTCCCGGAAAGGGTCCCCTCCAAAACGCTCAGTCCTGGAAAGGAGTTCAGTCCAGGACTCAACTTCGTTCCTGGGACTCAGTCCCAGACTGGAATTGAGTTCCAGAGTCCGGTCCAGTGACTAGTCCGGAACTCTGCAGCTTTTCCGGCCCTCTCTGACACCCTGGCGCGAGAGTCCAGCAAGAACTCATCACAGCATCATGATGCTTCTGTTGATGTTGCTGTGACTGTGACTGTGACCGTGACCGTGACCGTGACTGTGGCTGTGGCTGTAGCCGTGGCCGTGGCCGTGGCCGTGGCTGTGGCTGTGGCTGTGGCTGTAGGTGTTGTTGTTGTTGTTGTTGTTGTTGTTGTTGTTGTTGTTGTTGTTGTTGTTGTTGTTGTTGTTGTTGTTGTTGTTGTTGTTGTTCTTGTTCTTGTTGTTCTTGTTGTTGTTGCTGTTGCTGTTGTTGTTGTTGTTGCTGTTGACGTTGCTGTTGCTGTTGCTGTTGCTGCCGCTGCCGCCGCTGCTGCTGCTGTGGTGGTTGTTGTTGTTGTTGTTGTTGTTGTTGTTGTTGGCTGTTGCTGTTGGCTGTTTGCTGCGCGGCGCTCCCCAGCTGATGCGTTGTGGTTTTTGTTGTTGTGGTTTATGTTGCTGTTGGCTGTTGGCTGTTGTTGTTCATATACTGCCGCTGCTCTGCTGCTGCTGCTGCTGCTAGCTGCTGCCTGCGCTGCTGCTGCTGCTGCAGCTTGTTGTTTTGCTAGCCTTTTGTTGTGTTGTTGTTGTTGGTTGTTTTGTTGTTGTTGTTGTGCTGTTTTGCTGTTGCTCTGTTGCTGTTGCTGCTGCTGGCCTAGCTGCTGCTGCTGCTGTGTGGTTGTTTTGTTGTTTTGTTGTTGTTGTTGTTGTTGTTGTTGTTGTTGTTGTTGTTGTTGTTGTTGTTGTTGTTGTTGTTGTTGTTGTTGTTGTTGTTGTTGTTGTTGTTGTTGTTTGTTTTGTTGTTGTTGTTGTTGTTGTTGTTGTTGTTGTTGTTGTTGTTGTTGTTGTTGTTTTTGTTGTTGTTGTTGTTGTTGTTGCTGTTGCTGTTGCTGTTGCTGTTGCTGCTGCTGCCGCCGCCGCTGCTGCTGCTGCTGCTGTTGTGGTTGTTGTTGTTGTTGTTGCTGTTGCTGTTGCTGTTGCTGCCGCTGCCGCTGCTGCTGCTGCTGTTGTGGTTGTTGTTGTTGGTGGTGGTGTTGTTGCTGTTGCTGTTGCTGTTGTTGTTGATGCCGCTGCTGCTGCTGCTGCTGCTGCTTGTTGTTGTTGTTTTTGTTGTTGTTGTTGTTGTTGTTGTTGTTGTTGTTGTTGTTGGTTGTTGGTTGTTGTTGTTGGTGGTGGTGGTGGTGTTGGTGTTGGTGTTGTTGTTGCGGTTGTGGTTGTGGTTGTTGTTGTTGGTGGTGGTGGTGTTGTTGGTGTTGTTGTTGTCGTCGTCGGTGTTGTTGTGGTTGTTGTTGTTGTTGCTGTTGCTGTTGCTGTTGCTGTTGCTGTTGCTGTTGTTGTTGTTGTTGTTGTTGTTGTTGTTGTTGTTGTTGTTGTTGTTGTTGTTGTTGGTGTTGGTTTTGGGTTTGCTGTTGGTGTTGGTGTTGATGTTGATGTTGTTGCTGTTGCTGTTGCTGATGCTGACGCTGTTGCTGTTGCTGTGGCGGTTGCTGTTGCTGCTGCTGTTGCTGGCGCTGGTGCTGCTGCTGCTGCTGCTGCTGCTGCTGTTGGTGGTGGTGGTGGT